AGAGGAAATTGCAGTTAGGGAAACAGCTAGTGCTGAGCAGTTGTAAAGTAACAAACAATACTACTTATTTTAGGGTATATATGTCTAAGTTAGTACATAGGGATTAAATTCAAGACAGTATATTTTATTTATTTTTATTATTTATTTTTTTGCAGGGACTTAAAGGGACATTGTCACCATTTTTAGCATGATTTTGGAAATCTCAAAAATATATATTAATCTTTGGGAGCTGAGCAATAATGGTTTTATTTCATGGAGCAGTACTCAACAAACGATTAAAACCCATTAGGAGGTGAGGACGGCTAACGATGGCAAGGATGTAAACAGATTGCAATATGGACTTTTGAAAACATGTCAGGAAATTGTTTTTTAAAGGTTCAAGTTTGGCTCCAAAATTGTTGGAATTTTGCAAAAATGTTGCTGCAGAGTGGACTTTCTTCAAGAAATTGCTTTTAATCATTGAGTTACAGCTGATTAAGTTCTTATTAGATAAATCTAGGGACCTTTTCATGAATCTTTAGAAAACAGTCCTAAGAAAATACACGCGCTGATTGGTTAAAAACTGTGTTTCTATAACTTGATAGAAACACAGAACTAGCACAAGCTGTTGATGTAATGATGGCACAAGCAAAGAGAATTTACATTTTGATAATCAAATTTAACAAGTTGTTTCCCCTTTTTTTGTTGCAATTTTCTCTGTGTTTCTATCGAGTTATAGAAACACTCGTGAAAGTTTGGGAGAACTGGAAAAAGCTGTGGAAACACTCACCTGCGGCTCGTGTTCCCACAGCATTTCTCGTTCTGCCAAACTTCCACTCATGTTTCTATAACTCGATAGGAACACGGTACATGTTTCCTATTTCTTAAATAACAGTATCTATCCTGACAGTGTCCCTTTAAGCTGTACTTGGCACTGGCCATGGAAAATCTTAAAACATTTTTCTTGGGAACATAAATCAAATAAATTGAAGATGCATGAAACCTTTTTACCCCCTAATCAGGTAAGCTTGAACTTTGCTTTGATTGAGCATCTTCTCCAGCCAATTTTTTTGGTGTAAGTGCACCAATCGTTAGGGGTCATCAATGCCTATAATTGCCTTGTATCATTCAGTGCCAGAGAAACACTTGTTATAGAGGACACACAGACTGACCCAGCCCAACAGACAGGTTTTTGCCAACCCACGAAGCAATTGAAACA